TAAAGAGAAAATATTTTCGAATTAAAACAAGCACAGAAATCTGAGTATAAAATGTAAAATGTACATGAATTTGTAAAATAAAGCCGAGCACTTTGATTTTGAGCTCGTGGCATGCCAATTCAGGTCATGGCTCCACCCCCCTGGAGGTCTACTCACTTTTTTTTTTACTCTTCACTCCAGGACATGTTTAGAGAGAGGAAAGGGAGAGAGAGAGGAGTGTCTGGTGGAAGGGTCAGAGAGAATAGCAAATGCAAAGACACTGAGCAAAGACGAAGCCCACGTAGCTGGGCAGAATCCCGAGAACGAGGGAGGAAGCAGTCCGAACATGAGGCGAGCAATGTCCCTGGGAGCCCGTTACCCTACAGGCGGCTGCAGGGTCTAGGCCTGCACTCTGAGATGGGGAGGTGATGCGGCTTCTGACCGGAGGAGAAGCACCATTTGCCTTAGGCCTGAGCCACTTCGCAGTGGCTGCCACGCTGACGTGGCTGCAGTGAGCCTGGGTAGGAACAGGACACCAGTCAGGAGGCCGTCCTCGCGCTCCACGGGAGCAGGTGACAGTGGAGGGAGTGAGAAGCTCTCGGACTGTGGTTACGTTTTGAGATTTGTGTGGCGGGTATATGAGAGAGCGATAAAGCCGCCGAAAGGTGGAGGGAAGAGAGTTCAAGGATTAATACAAAGATTTGGTCCAAAGCCACTGGCGGGATGGGTTGCCATTAACAGAAAAAGCTTTCAAAGAGCAGTTGTCCCGTTTTTGACGTTCGGTAGGCCGTGGGCCATGCGCCTGGAGTTCGGGAAGAAGCTGTGGATGGGACTTGTGAGCACACACTTATACCTGAGCACCAGGCAAATGGGATGGCGAAACAGATTTAGACATACTCTCCCTGACATTTGCGGAGATGAAGAAGAATAAGCGGAAGGAAGCTTAATGAAGGCTCAGAGTTGAAGATGTAACAATGGAATATTACCCAGCCATAAAAGAGTGAAAGCTTGCTAACAGCATGGATGGACCTAGAAGGTATCATGCTGAGTGAAATCAGTCAAACAAAGACAAATAACATACGATTTCACTTATATGTGTAATCTAAAGGTCATATAAATGAACACACAAAACAAACAGACCCATAGATACAGGGAACATTTTGATGCTTGCCAGATTGGAGGGGTTTTGTGGGATGGGTGTAAAGGGGGTAGGGATTAAGAAGTACAAATTTCCAGTTATAAAAACAGTCATGAGGATGTAGAGTACAGCATAGGGAATATAGTCAGTAATATTATAACCACTATGTATAGTTTCAAATGGGTACTAGTCTTCTCTGGGTGATCATTTTGTAAGTTATATAAATATCTAATCACTATATTGTGTACTTGAAACTAATATAATATTGAATGTCAACTGTAATAAAAAAAATGAGAGAGAGAGAATGTATTTCCTGGAAGGCAAGTGAAGAAAGTAATTTAAAGAGGAGACAGTAGTGAACTTTGTCCTAAAATTAAGCCAGAGCAGGGCTTTAGATTTTGCAATCTGCAGATTGTTTCTGACCTTGATAAGACCAGTTTCAGTGGAGTAAAGGGGTGAGAGCCTGATTAGAGTGACCTCAGTAAAGAAATGGAGAAGAGAGATTGGAAACTGCTCTGTGCACAGTTCTTTCAAATTTTACTTTAGCGGGAGAGGTAAGAAATGGGGTGGCACCTGTAGGGGTAAGTGAGTCCTGAGAAGGCTGTTTTATGTTTTTGTTTTAAGTGGGAGAATGAATGGCATATTTGTAGCCTGACCTTCCTGTGCATATCTGGGGATTAGATACCTAATTACTGATAGAGGTCTTCGGGGACAGGAGTTTTGATTGGAAGTCAAGGCCATGTGAGCAGATCATTTGGGATCATGGGCTCTTTGGGAAATGTCAGTGCTGAACTGGGTGACATGAGAGAAGAGAGAACCAGGGGCACCAGAAGATGGATAGGGAAGCAGAAGATGAAGGGTCTATTTCAAAGACTGTGTATTTGCATTTTGAATAGAGTTTAGGTTACTGCAGTCTCTAAGGGCTCAGTGAAAAATCCCACGTGCCATAGAAGTTTAAGCTAGATGAAACAAACCTTAACACAAAATTTTAATAGCATTTCTTCTTTCATGTCAGACTCATCTCTGTGGGAGCGGTCATTTTGAATGGATTTAAAGGCAGGGAGGGAGGCCATTTGCATACCCTGGACACTTTGGAAATCAGCATGCTTTCTGTTGAGGAACTAGAACAGTGGCTTATGTTAATTAACGTATGTGTCTGTAACACCGTCTGCTAGGAACTCTGTGACCCAGTAATGAAAGTGTTCTGATGAATCAAGTAATCTAGCTAACAAGCACCTACAACACATAGTTTAAATTAATTATCAATGTTGAAACAAGTGTAAGTCTGTGTGCATCCTAGGTGTGGAGGTGAAGACTGGATGGAGAATCTCATCAGCCAGCACCTATGGTGCCAGTCCTTTGGGCATCACAGATTCAGGAACCCATCCCCTTCCTTCCAGTAGAGACTTCATTCCATTCATTCAGTTGTTGTTTCACACAGTCAGAGTAGGCTCTGCAGAGGTCATTCCTGTCAGTCATGGGCTTGGGAGTCAGACTAAGCTACTAGTTAAGTAAGAGATTATGAGATTTGGGGAGCCTCCAGATCTCACCAACATCGTCTTCGCAAAGAGTCACCATGTATTGCCTGTATCTCCAAAGAGTAGAGTTCATGGTCTTTAGGGCATAACATCTTCCTGGACAACTAAAATATTGCACAATGCAGCCTCTCTTTTTACAGCTTCCTTTTTGGAAAATGGTTACAGTGTGGTCTGAAAACACTGGGTTGGAAATTAAAAAGACTAGATTCACCTTGGACAGCACAATCTCCAAACTACTTTGCTCTCCCATTTCATATATAGATCTGTATGACACTGCTACCGCATACTTTATGCACTTGTGTGGCTATAATAGGATAGTAAATAGTAAAGTATCTTAAGAAAAAGTGTTATATAGCAGCTATGGATAATGATTTATCTTATGAGTTACCAATTTTCAGCTTTTGTACTATACTTTGGATTGGTATTTGATTTTCTTTCTCTTTGCCCCAATTTTAAGATATATAGGATAGCCCAGCCAGGCGTGGCTCAGCGGTTGAGCGTTGGCCTAGGATCCAGGAAGTCGAAGTTCAATTCCCAGTCAGGGCACATGCCCAGGCTGTGGGTTTGATCCCCAGTTGGGGCCGTGCAGGAGGCAGCCGATCAGTAACTCTCATCGTTGATGTTTCTCTCTCTCTCTTTCTCTCCCCCTTCCTTCCTCTCTCTGACATCAATAAAGATATATATATTTTTTAAAAGATATGCTTTAAAAAAAAGATATATAGGATATATTGAGTTAAGGATGTAACAAGATGGAAAAGTGAGCTATTACTCTTAACTTATGTGAAACTATTTACAGTACCAGTATAATGAGCTACTTTTCTTAGTTGATTGGTGCATTAAAATAAATGTTACTAATATGTCTTAGAATTCACCAATAAGTAAAGTTGAAATTATAATTGTCACAGAAATAGTGATGAAAATAACATTTCCACCACATTTAAAAAATTGATTGTATCTTTCTTTTCAGGATTTAAAGTGTTAAACTTCATTTTGGCCAGATGATTAGAAAGATATACTTCTAGGGATTATTTTTATACTAGAATAATCTTTCACTATTAATCCATTTAAGTCTTCTCTGATATCAGTTCATCAGTGCTACCAATTAAAAATAGAAAATGTATGTGCTCAATTTAAGAATTAAAAATAATACCTTGGGAGTAGCGTTTGTTTCCTGTGTGAGAGGATTGTTGGATTTTCCAATTAAACAGGTCTCCATACTGGAAATGAGTAGTCAATTATGAAAATTATTTTTGAATAGCCAATTTACATATCCCTAATTGTATTCATTTCTTTTGAAAGATTGAACTTGGAATTTATGATGTTTTGATTGGTTACCTCTGCTGTTGTGTCATTAATACTATTGCCAACAAGGTTGCCCTATGAATGGGGAATCATATATAGGTTTGTTTTATTTAATGAATGACAAATATAGAGAGATTTAGTAGCAGTTTTCACATTTAATAGCACACACTGCACTTGGCTGAGCTGACAGGAGCATCCCTGAGCTGCCCACTGCACCACATTTGGACTTTGCTGCATCAGTGATAAGAGGCATCTGAGGTTCCTTGATGGTGGTGCTGTCCACTTGCCAAAAATGCAGTTTCAATCGGGTTGCCCTCGCTATTTACACAGTAGTGTTTGCACAATTAATGGAATATCTTATGATATTTTGCTCTTATTTTATGAAAAATGACTTGGAAATTTCATGTTAAGGACAAGAGGCATAGGTTTCATGTGGTATAAAATTGAGATGAAGATGGAAATAATTAAGTGAAAGTGCCAATGTTTATTCGCTTTGAAACTGGCATTCATTGGACTTAAACCAGTCAACATAGAGTCAGGCACGTCACGAGGGGAAAGAGCGAAACGAAAGGCCTGTGTGAAAATGGGTTATCTGTGTGTACAATGTAAATACAAATTCTGTGTAAATATACACACTGTATTATCTGTGTGTCTAAACAGAAAGACATAATTATGGGTTTCATCATGGCTCTTGTTCCATTTCTTCATATTCAGCTTCTAGTTTTTGGAACAACTCTTAACGGAGATACTGAAGTCCTTTCAGGCTCATTAGAAAGGGGAGGGGAGGAGGCAGCCACTCATGCAGGAGAGATGACCGAAGTCGGTTCTCTGTTTCAGAAACACAAGTGAACCTGAACCGGTCACTATTTCCTGGCCATGTGCTGTCAGACACAATACTGAATTAGAGCTGTGGGTACAGTCACATGAAAGTTTCCCAGGCCATTTTCTTTAAAACCAGAGATCACGGTCAGCTGGATGCAGTGGCCGGGTGACATGCATGTCCTATGTCCTGTGAAGTAATAGTGTTTTGGGTTTGTTTGCAGCTGATCGCTGTGTTTGACGAACAAGAACCGCTGCACAAGATCGAGAGCCCCGGTGGAAACCCTGCGGGTCGGCAGAGCCCGGATGCATTTGAAACAGAAGTGGCTGCCCAACTGGCCGCGTTTAAACCAATCGGTGGGGAAATTGAAGTAACCCCTTCTGCTCTGAAAATAGGTATGTTCTTTTTTGTGGTATGTTTTTCATCTGGCGCATCACCTTGATGACTATGAGTTGCTTCTATTTTATGACTTGTTTTGTTAGTATCTTTCTTTTTCAAAATATGTGGGGGGTTTTCTCTACATTATTATTATTATTTTACATAGTTCTTTGCGGCTGTTGAAACTCAGGCAAGTGGATGCAGTTTTTTCTTGAATTGCAGGGGAATCTGAACCTGAATTGTGTGCCCTTGAAATATCATAGGGGAGGGACTGGAATGTAGGTGATTAGGTTCATCTGTAGCCTATGAGAATCATTTTTAAAAAAAGTCCCTGAAAGTGTCATTTGGAATAAGCTAAGCGTGATCAAGGAATCTGGACTAGGAATAAAGGTCACTTCGGTTTTAGCTACCTTCTTTTCCTCCCCATATTGCATGATCTAAGAGTTTGGGGAAAACATTTTGAACTTAGTTTCTTAAGTCTGTCCTAATGGTTTATTGAAACAAGAGCAACCCACCCAGTGAGTTTGCTCACAATTCTTTTTTTGTTATATTTATTTTTGAAGGCGTGGGTAGAAGGAGAAATAAGCATTCCTCTCGAATTTCAGTGAATTTACAACGGTAAGAGAAATAATATGTCAGTTTTCGGTGATACCTCTGAGAGATAAATTTAGGCGAGTTTAACAGCATGAAGTTTCTGAAAACTTCAATATTTAGGTACTTAAAACAGTTTTTATTCCTGTTGAACGTATGCGTACATTTTGAGACAGCTCTAAGCACCTGTTATAGGTTAGTTCTCAAGCTAGAACAGAGGCTTTTTCCACTTTGCTTTCTAAAGCAAAACGTATGCTTAAAGTTGTAAAAATTGTACGTGGCACTAGTTTTGCGCATTTGAAAGAAACCGCATACTGTCCACTTTATTTTACACATCACAATGCCGAGTGTCCGCGCTTTGCACTGGTTTTCTGGAAAGCGTGTGCAGCGCCCCTGGAAGAGCCCAGTGGAATGAAGAGCTCCGCCTGGGGAAGGCCGGCTGGGGAGCCGGCTGCGGGCACCAGACCCGGGCTTCGGCTCCCCGGCAGCTTCTCTTCGGAAGCGAGGTTTGTGGCTTCAGCAACTTCACAGCCCTGTCGTTCATTTGCATAATGGATGCCTTTTTATCCATTATGCAAATGGTATGGGAGGAAAATTAGGCAATAAGGGAAGACGAAAGGAGAAAATTGCCCTTGCTTGTTTTAATATTCTATTTATAAGCAGGCACTTTGGTCTTCAAAAGGCCGAGCCTTCGAGTGCCGCTGTGTCTGGGAATTAGTTGTGAGCATTCTCAGAGAAACAAACTTTGTTTTTCTTCAACTTTTTCAGAGTTTATTTTGTTGAACCATCTGAACAACATAACACTGAACGCAGGAAGAGAAGTGAGCTGAGGTTTCTTTTCCTTGCAAGTGGACTTTCTGCTTCTTCAATACTGATTTTTGGCAAGACAGAGATAGAAAATAATATTTATTAAATGGTGACTACACAGCAGGCACTGAGCTTAAGGCTGTGCACGGAGCATAATCCTTTACTTATAACAACTCAGTTAAACCTGAGAATACTTAGTTGGGTTCTTTTACGGCCTTCATTTAAGAGCTGAGGAGACAGGCACAGAGCAGTTAAGTAAAAGTAACTCATCCAAAATCACAAAACTATTAGATAGCAGGGCCAGGATTTAAACCCTTGCTGGCTCCCAGTGTAAGGAACAGTTTTGCTGTGTGCCTCTCATATGCTATTTTTGAAAAATAAGATAAAATAATTGATAACATTTTCCTCGGATTTACTTTGTGGATATATATCAAGACCCCGCGAATGCTCAACTCTTTGGCATTACGTCCCGTTTCCCCTAGCGCTGTAGATTAAAGGGATGAGATGAGCTAACCTTTGCCGTTAGGTAATGGGTGTTGCCTCCCAGTGACTGGGCCTGAAATCATGGCATCATCTCCAGTTCCTCCTTTTTCTTCCCGCGTCCATGACCATTGCCGCGAGCCGGAGCTTTACCATTAATCACACTCTGGCAGAGGCCTCCGACTGACCTCTTTCTGTACAGCGCTGCTCTCTCCAGCCCCTGCTTCTGCCAGAGCTGCCTTTCTAAATCACAAATCTGATTATATGGCCCCCGCTTAACAACTTCCAATGGCTTCCCATTGCGCAGAGAACCATGTCCAAACTCATTAGCAAGCTGATGCAGATGGTTCCTCAGAATTAGCTGGAGGAATTTGGGCAGGGATGAATGATGACAGAGTCATCCCTTATCTGCCCTCACGGTTCCATCACAGTGATTACTCTTCATAAGATCTGGAACTTTAAAAGCAAAGGAAAACCACATTTGTGGAGTTTCCCAGAGAAATTAAAGAAGGAAGCAACACAACCAGCTTTGGTCTCTACCCGTTTTGTTTGTTTTCGTTGCCTTCAGGACAGGGCGCGGTGGCAGGCTGGGCACGTGTCGTCTCGGGATGGCGGGTGTGCATGGCAGAAGGCTACATTCTTGTCTCCTCCCAGAGCTGTGCTGTCTGGCCCACCCTGACGTCCTGTTTACATGAAGAGTTGAGGGGTGTTTGGAGAGGGAGCAGCGTTTGTGTTCCAGCAATTCATCATAACACTGTGCCCATAAAATGCCAAACACAGAGCCCCAGCCCCTAATCTCTGCTCCCCACTCAGTGTCCCGAGGCCACTGGAACTGGTCCTGCTTCTCGTGGGGCTCATACACCCAGTCTGGTGCAGCAGAAACAAGGGCTTATTCTCACTGGCTTTTTTTTCTTGAGACCCTTGCAGGAAGCTGGGGAATTTCATCTTTACCAGCCCCCATGCTTGCCTCACTTAAGGGCACACAATTTAGCAAATATTAGGAATCAAGACATTTTTATGATTGGGTCATATTAATCACCAATATTTTTTTACTGATACCTGGTGTTGAAATACACTCAAAGTTTATTATAATTTTTATGCCTTTTTTTCTAACACAAGATAATCATCAACAGTATTCTGTTAAAAACCAACAACCTTCCCTACTGGACCCTCCTGTTCTTTTTTTAATCTTCCAAGATGAAATATTTATGCACAGAATATGCAGAAGGTTCACATTCATAGGCTCTTCATGATCTGGCTACTTCCTTTCTGCCCACTTTCATTCCCCCAAACTGCCACTTGTTTTCAAACCTCTGTGCCTTTGTAGGCACTGTTCCCCTTTAGCTGGCTCACCCTTTTCGCTCCTTGTGTACTTGGTGAACTTAAGCACCTTTTAAGCTCAAGATCACATATAACCTTGTTTTTGATGCCTGTCCAAATCTTTAAGATATTACAGTAGATGTACAATAAATATATGTCTTAATCCTTTATTCAGCAATGAAGTGTTACAAAATGCATTGAAGAAATCTTCTACTCCCCTAAAAGGGTGAAGAATCTTGTACCCTGTAAGCTAATGGGGTATATATTTTTAATTAGTAAGGGGAGTTTTAAATCAAGTGGGCAACCACATAATTCCAACTTCATTCATCTAAATTATTTCCTACCATTTATTTTCTAATGGATTTTCTAATGTAATGTTAAATGACTAAGGCCAGACTCAGCCCTATCTAGCAAATCACTCTAACACTTTAAGATTCTAAGTTTCTAAAATTGGTTGATGCTTTTTACTGTGTAGCCCAGAGACTGCTAAATAGCCTATTTAAAAGAAGAGACGTGGCGGAACAAACAACAGGTGAAATAGCAAAGATTCATGTTCACAGAGTCCATTTGTGCTTTAAAATTACCTAGTTCGGGAATTGCCCAAGTCTTCTTTGTGGACCCATATGTTTTGGGATTTCAACATATAGTTGATTCTAGTTAATTAACATTTATTGGGCATTTAAGTTCTAAAAGCTATTCTAATTCCTTCTTGCTCTCTTGTCCGAACAAAATAGACTAGGCTTGCAGGGAACAACTGCATAAGAAGGCTCTTGAATAGGCAGCAGGGAATTCTAATGCTTTTTAGAATTCCTACAGCAGAGAGGCCCACCTCCAACCAAAGAAGCCTTAGCACCCCTTAGAACAACCTTTATGGAATGCTGGCCTAGAGATAGCCAGTTCCACAGATTTTCCTAATCAGCCACTGTCTAGACAATTGGCATTACTTGACAGAGGAGCAAGTAAAAGCTTAGAGAGAGTGTGTGCTCTAATATCAAATTACCATTTGGTTAAAGAACTAGAATTGGGACCGTCATCTCTTAGCTTCTAGTACAGTGCTCTTTCAACTACCAGACATTTTTTGGATTAATTATGGATTTCAGTTATCCATGTCTTTTAATACTATATGTGGTAAAGTAGCACCTCGTCTCTCTTGGAATTGAGATAGAGTGTAAATTAATAAATAGATACTGTGAATAGTTGTAAGACTAGAAAATTAAGATGGAGAACATTTTTTAAAAATCTCGAAGTTCAGAAATGAATTTGCTCCTGTCTCATCCCATGTGTCTGTGCACACGTGTGTGTGTGTGTGTGTGTGTGTGTTTGAGGGGAAACTGCACCAAAAGCATTATGCTAATGGGATTCCTAGGTGATTTTCTTTTCTATATTGTGGAGATTGTTGTACTCGCTTTGACATTTCAAGCGTCTGCATGCAGGGCCTTCTGTAAATAAGACAGATGAGGGAGGACAATTATTTTGAAGTTTGGAAGAATAGGTTCTTTAGCCTTCCCCGCTGTAGATCCTATGCTGCCTTCATGACCTTGTACTGTTCTCCAAAAGATCTTATGAGGCCCAAGGTTGGTCCAGTCCTTGTCCCTTGAGAACCAGTGATAGAGAGCTGGTTCCAGACCCTACAGAATTTCATGTAGTTGTTTTCCCACCCAAGTCATTCCTATATCTATCATGACCACCTTTTGCCAACCCCTTCCACTCCCCCTCCAAAAAACTGGACATATTTGGCATTTCATAGACCTGAATATTTTTATCTGAGACCATCCAGGTCATTCCTGATGTGTCACTGCCATGTTTCAGTGGGCCACAG